CCCCCCCCCGAAAAGCTGATGCTGTGAGTATAAGCCTAGGGTGTGAGCACAGTGCAGTCTGGTGAAAGTTAACTTGAGGTAACTGCAGGCTTGTCTCTTTGTCGCTTGATTTGTTTGAATGGTTTAATGGGCTGCTTGCTGGTCAGCTGTCATTTCTCTGTGAAATGTATATTTGTATGTATGTAAACAAACACACACGTTTAGGTGCAGACTTAAAAGCTGACACTTTGTTCCTTGGGCTCATCTCTGCCTTGAAGTGAGCTCTTCTTTACCTGGTGCCTAGTTAAACATATCCACCACCAACGTCAAACTTCAAAAAATACGAAAAAGGTATAAATATTAAATCACCGTTTCTTATATCGGGTAGGTAAGCCGCTTAGGAAGAAGCGTGCGAACCTTGCTTTTGAAGGTGCCTGAGTTTTACCATGCTTTTACCAGGTGCAAAATTATTCTGTGTCAAACAGGTTTATGTTAGCTAACTTAGCTTTGTTCTAGTCTTTAAAAAAAAAAATCAATCCTATTAAAATAATATCTGATGTTATATCCCCACACACTTCCTCCCCACCCTAGAGTGACACTGGCAAGCTGTCCTGCTTTAGAGAGTGTTTTCAAACTAGCAAAGGAGTATTTTCCATCAACGCAGGTGGAACAGAGCAAGGTTTACGATTAAAATTCATATTTTGATCACGTTCTGGCTTTTGGCGGAATAAAAGCATTCTCACGATATTAGTTGGGAATGTCCTTAACAAAGAGGCTGTGGAAAACGTAAACCTGTCCTCAGATGTTCTCGGTTAGGTGTCGGATGCTGCGTTGGAAGTCGCTTGCTGCGATGCTCTGAAGCGCCTGCTAGATTTAAAGAGAGCTTGAGATGCAGGAAAGCAGATGGCTGGCAGACTAGGAAGAGAAATAATAGTCGTCTTTTATGTTTTTCAGGTGAAAAATTGGAGGAGTTTCTCCGCTCGCTAAACAGCAGTAAACCTCTGTATTTGGGACAGACTGGTCTGGGGAATATTGAAGAGCTTGGAAAACTCGGGCTTGAGCCGGGAGAGAATTTCTGCATGGGAGGGCCGGGAATGATCTTCAGCCGCGAGGTGCTCCGGAGGATGGTGCCGCACATCGGCGAATGCCTCCGAGAAATGTACACCACCCACGAGGACGTGGAGGTGGGCAGGTGCGTCCGCAGGTTCGGAGGAACCCAGTGCGTTTGGTCGTACGAGGTAAGTCGCGGTACGTCGCGACGTGATGTCGGTTTGCAGGCGTTGGCGTCGGGCGGCGTAAACAGCTGTCTCTGAAATCTCTTTGCGCCGTGGTTACGTTTTGGTGCGTGCGTCCGAATGTCAACTACAGGCTGCGAGGTGTTCACAGCACCTCGCTGCGAGCGGGTTTATTTCTACTTGCAGCTTTCAGTTTTCCTTTGGTGACCGTTACTGTAGCTTGCGCTTGTAAGAAGCCGCGTTTTAAGTACAGCTACGCTGCAAGTCGCTAAAGCACTACCTTTAGGGTTTCTATATATAACCCCTGACATGAGGCTGCTGTAGTAAGGGTACGTTTTTAAGACTGGGATTTTAAAAATTCATTTTGTATAATCACGCAGCATATCTCTTTGTTCTGCAGTGCGCGTTCTTAAAATGCATAGCAGTGTTTGAAGAAAAATTACCTATATATATATTTTTTGTAATTATTCCAGTGCCTTTTGATAGAGTTCATTATATTCAAAAATGAAAGCCGACTGATTTTTTTTTTTTTTTCTGGTACAGAAACAAAATTTGTTAGGCTGCTCGCGTCTGTGTTATATTTGTAACAGTATTTCACGTAGATTTTTAACACTGTTCTTATACGCATTACAGACACGAGCAGCGTTAACGAATTTCACTACTCTGAAATTGTTTCAGGAGCAAATGCCTTCAATCAGTAGTAGCATTTTCTAAAGTAATAAGGGCGTGTTACAGTACCCGTAAAGTTTAACTGCAATGCTGTGACCAACGTCCGTGGCTGTTTCACTGGGAAGGCTGTGGCTGGTGGTGGGATTATCTCTGTAGATCAAGATGGACTAAGCGTACGCTGACGGAAAGGGTAGAGGGTGATAGCTAACGTGCTGAATATGATTTTTAGGTATTTGGACTGGTTCTTTAGCATTAGTGTATGCTTGCCCTTGTGGCACTACCTCATTAAGCAAGAAAAACCGTTTAAATGGGCCACTAAAAGAGGTTATGCGCCATTAACGGCGAGAAGACAAGAGAAATAATTGGTTTTGTGTGTTAGTGTTTTCCTGACAGGAAAAGGTGGCTGTTTTGTAAAATGGGTTTAGTAGGCTACAGTGGATGTGAAGAGATGGTTGAAAGTAAACCTTAAGTAGTTAATGCTTACTGAGTAGATTAATTAGCGGTGGGAATTGTATCCTCCGCAATAGAAGTGTGTTTTTGAGAGATGGCTTCATTAAATATTGTATGTTACAATGTTTTTAAAAAACATCTACTGGTTACACTGGTAGGAGGGGAAGGTGTTTATCATGCGGGGGGACATCAGTGTTGGACTAGTACTGCTTAAATCAGGTTTTTAAACAGTGTGCTCATTTTGTAACTTGATCTTATATTCTGATATGTTTGAGATGCGTCTGAATGTGTTACTTTTAAAATCCTTAGAGGTATTTGATATCTCCTGGCCTGTATCAGGTGGCAGAATTATGATTCTGCCTTTACTTGCAAGTAGTTTCTTGGAAACTTTTTGTTTATTTTCCCGTTTCTTTTACTGGGGAGAGATCTAGGGAAGGGAAGAAAACTGCTAGTAGATAAAATTGTCCCCATGGCTGTAACTGATATTGAATGTTGGGAAGCTTTGACTCCGGACACTGAGGGTAAGTGGTACAGAGCAAAAAATAAATTTATTTTCTTCTGTTTTGGAGACCGAATTACACAACTGCCCTGAAGCTTACCTTTTCGTGGTAGGACTGGGATCTGAAAATGTAAAGTTTGTGGAATGGGACCATGCGTTTTTATAGGATCGAGAATGAAGATGATCCCAATCTTGACGGTCAGTTGTTCCTGAAGGCCCTATGACTATATAATAAAGAAAGTGTGTGTTAGATGTTGCAGTATCAGGTGTTTATTAGGGAGCAGTATGTGTCTGAGAGAAGAAACGTTGACGTTGTTGCCTGTACAGCATGTTCTCTAAGATACACAAATGATGAAGACAAAGCTATTCTTAGGATAGCATTTCAATATTAAATCTCTGTGGAAGAGAGGATGTGGAAAAAGTGTATCCCGCTGTGAGAAACCAAAACCCAGTCATTCTGAGACATGAGAAACTTGTTTTTCCCCTCTGCCTCCATTTAGAGATGCTATCAAGCAGGCTACGACTTCTGCAGACAAATTTGTTTTCTTTTTTTTTTTTTTTGATTTACATAAGATTGTTGTTTTCAGATATCTACTTCTTTTTATATAAAACACTTCAAATATCTGAGAGTGACTTTAGGCATACGCTTCACAAGAGTCTGTTGGGTCAAAGTATTTTTGCTGTGATGCAGAGTTGGAACCTTAATATTCCAGTTTCAGCAGAGCTTTGGCTATTCTGATAAGCGAAAGGATCCTTAGGTTGCCTTTGTGCTTTGGCATCATTTCATCTCTTTATTTAGTAGGTTGTTTGAAGCAGTCTGTGATACTGCACCTGAACTGATTGCGGTTTTGCACGTTGTTAAATTAGCCTGTCCTAGGTGTGACTTTTTTCCTAGGGCATTGAAACTCTTGCTGCATGTTTTCTCATCTGCCTTACATCAGCAGCGGGCTTTGGGTACGAAAGGGGGATCCTCCCCCCACCCCCCAAATACAAGTGCACAGATCCCAAGATTGAGGCTAGCACTTTCTGCATAGGCCGTTCAAAATTTGTCCTGAACTCTTCTTACTATGTTTAGGCTATTAAACTCCAAATGCTGTTGGACTGTAGGTCTTCATGAGCTTCACTGCTTTTGAGAACATGCCTAGCTTGTATTTACTGTGCGTTGTGTAATATAAACTGCACGCGATTCTGTTAAATTTAATAGCTGTAGAAAAGCTCTAAAAGAATTGAATCAGTGTAACATCACTTTATTATTACTTTTTCCCAAGAATTGGAACTTAAAATCTTTTTTGAGGAGGGGTTTAGGGGGGAGAAACTGAGGTGCTCATGAGAAAACTGAAATGCTAAGAGTTTTGCTGGGTGGTTGAGGGTGCGTAGGTAAGATGGACTGTCTGTCTGGGTCCATTCCCCTTCTGTTTAGGGCTAGCTAGAAAGCATTAACTCTGTGTTAGGTTGTCTGCATAACGTAACTGGCAAAAGAGAGGATTAAAACTTTTGCTTTTTGGCGTGAAGATGAACAAGCATGAGAAGTGCTTGTGCAAGGCTGCAGCAAAGTTGCCCTCGCTCTGGAGCCTTGTAGAGCTGAGGTCTTGTTGGCCCGGACCTGGAGGCAGGACCGAAGCCAGCCTCTCCCACGTACCGTGTGGCTCATCTTGGAGGTGGCCAGTCTGCAAAGCTTTATTGAACATTAGCACCAGAGAAGAAGAAAAAAGGGTAGGAACAGATGAGGACGGTGGAGTGACGCTGCCCATCTCGACAGCAGGCTACGTTCAAATTGGCTGAGATCAGTAGCTGGACTACAGCCTTAAATCTAAGGCACTTCCCGGCTGCTTTAGAAAATACCTGCTGGAATCTTCTCATTTGGGATGGGTTTTCTTTCTGCTTTCTACACAAAGTTCGCCTTGGTTCTGATAGGTTTTTTCCAACTAAATTTTAGTTTAAGTGATTATCCTCCAGTTCCAATGATGCTGTAATGACTGAGGTACGATAAAGCTGGCACGTTTGTCTAAAATAAGTCTCTCTGTTTTTGTTAGGCGTTACCAACTTTTGCTTCCCAAGATCAATAATAGAGATTTAAAAGGGCCTTTTGCTCTTGCATTTTTTGGTCTAGCACAGTCTGCTCTCTTCCCCTAATTTTGAAGCTGAAAAATGTTTCTCTTTAAATGAATGCAGAGATTAGCTTTGGTGTTAGTGACTCATACTCATTTTATTTTTCTGAAATAAAAATATAGTTTAAAACTGAGATGAGACAGTGTTTTTTGTTTTGCCATTTAGGAGGGAGCTGACTACAGAGGACTCTTTGGAGAAAAAGACTGGTTGCTTTATTCCCCCACCGCCACCTTTTTTTCCCCCCTAAAGCTGTTTCTGATTTGAAATTTCTGATTTTGATGTTTATTCTAAAGTTGTTTGGAGATGTGTGGAGTGTTTTTTTTTTTTCTTTGAAATATGCATTAAAACTAACTTTACACAAAGCACCCCATATACTTTTGACCTTTTGGTATGATGTATTGTGATACTGGAAGAGAAGGATAACTGTGGCTAAGGTGTTTTCCTTCAAGTGTACATATAAGCAATCCGCGTTAATGACTGGATGCGTATTTTCCCACTATTTTGTCCTCTGAGAATTGTAGAAAGGATACAGTCTTACTGCTGTAACATATTTATTGAAAAATGAAGCTCTTTAATGTCCTTTTTATTGTTGATTTCTGATAGCTGAAGTAAAATATCCCATGCAAATATCCATTCCGATCAAGTTACGTGCTCAGAAACGTTTCCTGCACAGTGCATTGGCATGGAGACTATCTCCCGAGGCACTACAACCTTTAAAAGCCATCTCTTCTTCCGCTAAAACCACTTCATCTTTTCTTTTTCGTTATCAGCTTTGCTTCCTGCTGTCTTTTAATTTTTGATTCAGGTCTTTGTCTCTCTCTTGTGTGGAGACGTTGCTGGGTCCCAGCCAAACTTCAAGAGCTGGACATTAGGCTAAACACAAGCGTTAGAGGTGTGTTGGCCTTAGATGAAGGTAACGTGGTATTTTGCGTATGTAGGATACAGGAGTGAGCAATTTTGAAGCAGCGGCACCCACAGTTAGTTGTTTTTGTTGCAGCCTTGTATACACTTTAACAACCACCCCAGCCAGGCTGTTGGTTTTGGGCAGCTTCGTTAGGCAGCTGCACGATCCTGTGGCAGTAACTGGCCATTTATGAAAGTAGCTCTGAGATTTTTGTCTGAGCGTCCTGTTCCTGTCCTTAAACCTTGGGAGACCCCGCTACAACCATGATCATTCATTCTTTCATGCGTCCTTATTTTAGGATCTTTGACGGCTTGCTGTCTTTGAGGTGGTATTTCCGTAAAAGTCTAGTGCAGAAGACTAGCTCTGAAAGCG